GTTTGTGTTAACTTTTCATCACAACAACAACAACAATAACAATAATAATAATAATAATTAAATGAGACTAATTTAAAATAATTTGTGTTCTGTTATGACAAATGCTCATTTTAGATAGCTTCATGATGGTTGGAATACATCGTGATAGGTGAAGCAACCTCGACCATGACAACGTGGTTGACAGATTTCATGCAAAATTTCCAAAATATAGAATTTCACTTTCAAGAATGAGGATTTGTAAATAAATTAGATGGTTACATTGCATACTCTTTGTTTTTTTGCTTTATTCAAAATGTTTCGGTTTTGGAAGCTGATGTCAACATTAGAAAGCATAGCCTACATGAAGTCATATTAAAGTAACTCGATGCCTATCAAATAAGTAATAAAAATTCACCATAATTCATCAAATATTCGTGGCTTCCAGGGGGCGAAGCCCCCTGGACCCCACCGGGGCCCTGGGCGGCCCCCTGGCCCCCAGCCAAGTGAGACTCGATTCGCTCCACTAGCTCCCCCCCCCCCGTTGGGGCCTTTAGCCCTTCCGTCGGGCAGGTCCTGGCGCCACCCCTGCACTCATAACTAATATCCACCAACTGGTGTTTCGCCTCCAGAGATGGTAATACTCGCACTCGTATATCTTGATCAAGCATATCCTTTATGAAAACAAGGGAACAATAGAGAGTGCGGAGAATATTATTGGGAAGAAATGATGCCAATCTATATATTATACCAATATTTTTTGCAATTTTGTTTTCAATATCAAATATGTGGGGTTTCTATGATAGACGACTATCAATGGATCAATCATTGAGTTTGATCCTTCCTAATATGGTATGTTGGTTAGTTAAGACAGTGTCCAGCTGACCACGAATACCAAGCAAGTCCGTTGATAGCTGTTGAATTCCGCGCTTCAGTGCTTCCTTACTAGCGGCGTTGGAAGCTTTAGACGGCGGAGGCGACCCGGGTGATTGTGGACCTACGTCTGCTGGTGATTTTTGGACTACGTCTGTTGGCTGCTTTTTTTTTTACCCATCTCCTGTATTATTTTTACTTTAATGACAATTAAATTCTAAAGTTCGGATCGTATATCGTTGGCTACGATAGTATTTTAGTAACGTTCTGTATATTTATGACGCAGCTAGCTACCGACGTCCGTTCACTCAGCCATTCCATATCGATTTAAAAAGTCTGGGAAGGGTTAGAGGTCAGTTTAGGTCAAATATTGATTTTGATAATAAATCTTTATGCATGCTACAAACATTTGTTCATATTTAAATGTAGAGAAGTTTTCCAGATGAGATAGAAAAATGTTGAATCTACCTCATTTATTGCATTCTAACATTCAAATACAGTCGCCATATTTTTTTTTTCAATAATCATAGTTACGGAAGAAATGACAAACAAATGTGTTTTGAGAACTTGAGGAAAGTCAATTCCTGAAATTATACCTCGACCGCATGCCCCTATAATATGTAACTTAGCTTAATCATACAAATTAGGTTGGAAAATATTATATAGGCCATCCGTATCTTGACAGCCGCTGGTAGTAAAAAATATTCAGTATATGCGTGTTTCTATTTCTTCCAATGAGATATATTTTCCGAAAATGACGTAACCTTTGACACATAATATACCCCTCCAGAACCTTGGACCTTTAAAACGCAAATTGATTGATCTTTTTATTGGTCGAGGACACCTATGGAAACAAGCTCATAGAGCTTATAGGGTTATCCTCTTGCTCTCATTTTTGTGTGTATTTATGTATTTGTTTTTTTTTAATTATTATTATAATGAGGGCAATAAATAATAAACAAACAAACAAACAAAAATATCTTTCGACCTTGTTTAGTTGTTTTTGCAGCGACATACAGCTTGATTTTTCGGTTTCCACAGTAGACGTTACTTTTTTAAGCTTAGCAGCTAAATTATCCATTTTCGTTTCTATTTCTGAGATTGAATTGCTTGCAAATTTAATTGATTCTTCCAATTGAGTCTGTTTGTTTTCGAGTTTGTCCATATTGACGGATATTTATGACGGAGCTAGCTACCGACATCCGTTCACTCAGCCATTCCAAATCGATTAAAAAAGTCTGGGAAGGGTTGGAGGTCATTTTATGTCAAATATTGATTTTGATAATAAATCTTTATGCATGCTGCAAACATTTTTTCTTATTTAAATGTGGCTATTGTCACTTAATTTGTAGCATGTCATAGTATTAATTAAGATTAAAACTAACTTTATTTTACTCTACTTAATATTTCTTTGACGGAGCAATGGCTTACCGTATCCTTTTTTGTTATAGCACATTAAGTAACCCGAACTTATTTACGAACCATGTGTTTTATTGTGGGTTTTATTGTGTGTTTATTATTATTATTATTATTATTATTATTATTATTATTATTATTATTATTATTATTATTATTATTATTATTATTATTATTATCATTATTATTATTATCATTATTATTATTATCATTATTATCATTATCATTATTATCATTATTATTATTATTATTATTATTATTATTATTATGTTATCTCTTATTTATTTATCATTTTTTTTATTTTGGCATCTACTGTAGCAGTATTATATACTATCATGTTAAATGCTATCAGTTGATACAATACATATGGATAATGTACACTTTATCAATATTTCAAGGTGCATATACCCACCTTTTTCTATCTTCGTGCTAGCATTGAATGCATACGGTTTAAAAATAAGTGTAAAGGTTGACCGAATTTATGTACATACTCCCCCACCATGCCAAATCCTAATAGCTTAGATGCCGACAATTTAAATACGGTACTTTATTCGATTTAAAATTTAACCCCTTCCTGGCCTACGAAAACATCATCAATAATGAAGATGTAGATCCGGACTTTCAATTTTATAATGATAGTATAAATGAATCAAGTTATTTTCATCCAAGTCAGTTTGCTGATACTTTTTCTAAATTAAATAATGATAACATTTTTCTAGTATTCATTTCAATGTACGTCTCTTGGGTAAGATGGACTCTTTAAGATGTTTTCTTCTAACACTTGAGTTTGACTTTGATGTTATTGCCATTTCTGAATCTTAGCTTAAAAACGATTATAGTCCACTAACAAATATTCCCGGATATACATTCTTATCTAAAAAAAGACAATCCAAAAGTGGTGGTGGCGTAGCTATGTACGTGCGAAACAGTTTAACTTTTGTTGTTCGTGATGACTTATTAACCGATGAATCAATATGTGAATCGTTGTTCATCGAAATAAAACTAAAGCATTGGAAAAATATTATCGTAGGGACATTTTACTCTTGACAAATTTTGTCGTACCCTTGCAAATGAAAATAAGCAAGTATTTCTGCTTGGCGATTTCAGTATTGATATTTTGCAATATACTTCCGAAAATTAAATACAAAATTTTGTTAACACTCTCTTTTACAATTTTTATTTACCATTAATACTAAGACCTACTAGAATGACGTCAACAACTGCTACTCTACTTGATAATATAATGACCAATCAGCTTGATTTACCACTTGCGAGTGGCCAACTTTAATGTGACATTTCACTCACCTGTTTTTCCCATATCTTCACTGACACACAAAACACTCAATCAACCAATGTACTACAGAACAAACCTTATAGGCAAATTAATGCAAACAATATTGAACGTTTTAAAGGAGAACTTAGTGAAACATCATGGGATGAAGTGAGTATACTCCAAACATATTCAATATGGAAAAATTCAGGAAACGTCGCCTACATTGCGCTTCATTGTGAAATGTATCCATATAATGTCCATGAGTTTCTTTACTCAAAGAAAAAACAGACATTACTAGATTTGTAAATATGTTCTGTACGCATGCTCATTTTTTTAATACTATGGCCTTGCATGTATTTTCTGTGTGATCAAATACGAGGTGTTAATTCCATCGTGCCTAGATAATGATTTCAGGAAGAATCTGAAGTCTGTGTATTATTTTGTCTCATTTCAATCAGGTATAACTGCTAAAATTATTCTTGAATGCTGCCAATTGTTAATAACAAGCCAGCCAGACTTGTTCACGCTTTACAATTTAATAATTTAAAAGTAGCAGTTTCTAATTGTTTCTAATACAGTAGTGTTATAACGAAAACATGCCAATTGATCACTAAAATGTACTCATATTTTGGGTGGACATAAAAGTAAATTATTAATTTTGTTGATTTACAGATAACCAGTGAACATTCTGCATGACGTAAACAGTCATGGACAACTTAGAAAAGAAAGATGAAAAACGCATCCGTGATAGTGTGTATGACCACTCAACAGCTGTGCTTGTGAAGCCAAGAAGTGGCAAAAAGAAGAGGAAACTCATGCAATATACTTTTAAACGGCTGCATTGTGATAAAAGAGATACAAAGAAAAATGCAAAATCTTCTCAACAGTCCTTACTAAAAGCTAGTTTAAAAGAAAATGACCAAAAGACGAAGGATGCTCAGTTATTCATTTACCTTCCATTACCATACAGAGTTCTTTGTATACAAAATATCAATTTACATCATCCAGTAAATACAATCGTGGTAAAGATTGCTGATTTACTTATGATTGATGACAGATTGGTAAACCTCTATGCAAGGAACAGATTCAAAGTAAGACTATTGAACATAAAACGGTATTATAAAATATGCGTGAAACCAAACCCTTATGTCAGAAAGTGACACAACGTATTTGCAGCAATTGTTAGCAACGTAATTAGTAATACTTTTAATGACGTGTAAACTACAAGTGTTTTCAACACCAAATTCGATATTAAAACTTCGGAATGTTATCTGGGGAATTCTAAAATTTGTTTTATTAATTCTTAGATTTATATTTAAATTGTCATAACTTAATATACATTTAATTGAATTTACAATTCAATCACAATGTCGTCATTTTCATTTTTCTGAATTTTCCTATTCCTGGCACTAATTTGATATAGAGTGCCAGTTACGTTTGCTGAGTGTTAGGGGACTGACTATGAAATAAAACGGTAGTAAACTTATAATGACCTCAAAAGACAAGGAAACATTCGTCATAATGGTCACGGTGGCTACACAACATTTTTAACTTAAAGGCCATTAGTTGTTCTATACGTATAGAATTAACTCAAGTTCATGAAACACATCAAATAGTTATTCATCGTTATTCACTATGCGGGCTTTCGGGCAATTTTGTCAGGGTTGATGAGATAGTGGCTTTTCGGCTTCTGTTTTGTATCTGTGGTCTATACTATTATATCTTAATATTTTAGGATTTCAGTATAATTGAAATAGATTTTGTTTTTTTTTTGGCAGCTAGAGAGGTTGTTGAGTTTTGTTGATCAGAATGTTGTAGACGAAGAAAACATTATCGTAAAACTCACAGAAGGTCTTTATGGAGGAGCAGACTGCCCCGAGGAAGAGACTGATAGTCACCTTGTTCGGGCTAAAGAAGAGAAACAGCATAGGAATTCTAACGAACTACAACTTCTGTCCAAGACAATTGAAGCAGGTAATGATATTTTAAAATATGCTGTACACCTGATTTTTCTAAGACATAAAAAACAAAAAACTCGGGAAAGGTTAATGAGACACAGATTTTTGAACATTTTCAAACTGAGGGAATGAGATACAGATTGTTGAATATTTAAAAAAAATGGGGGAAAAGGGGCGTAACGGCCCCGTTTTCCACCTTTTTAGCCCACTCTCTGAGAGAGAGAGGGCTTATATGATGATTCTGAGCGAATTTTGAAGTCATTTGTTTTTCTATCTCTTCCTTCGTTTGTGACGTGATTAGGCCGATCTTGCAATAATATAGAAGATAAGGCGTGGGGAATTTAAAGTATGAAGAGTTTTTGCGAAAATATTGTCGGGAAATATGTGAAAAGTATGGTTTTTTTTTTTTGGTTTTTTTTATCATATTTCTTAACACTACGGTAGGTTTCCTATGAAAGCGTGTTCGTCATTGATCGGATTGCAAATCGCCTGATTCCACATTGTGTTTATCAACCAATCGCGGCCTGGAATGGTAAGCTTTGCGGCTAATAAATGCATCTGCAACGAGTCTAGTTGGCAGCGAAGAATGAGCCGTTTTGTGGTGCTTGCAAGGGTGGTCTCTCCCCTGAGAGATAAACAATGTACTGCAATGCAGGCTGGCCTAGAGCTAGAGGAAGACGAACTTGGCCTATAGGCTGGCTGGGTAGTACTGTACGTGTGTGTAATACTGTATATCATATAACAGGAAATGTAGGCTACAAGTTGCTTTTATGTGTATTAAACCACATAATATTTAAATTAGTAGCGATGAGTGTATGTGTGTAGCACATTTCGTGTCAATGTACTGTAATGCAGGCTGGCCTGACGAAGACGAATAGGCTGGCTGGGTACGTACGTGTGTGTAGGCCTGTGCCCTAGTCTAGGTCAGATACTACAGGAAATAAATGTAGGCTACAAGTTGCTTTTATGTGTATTAAACCACAGATTCAAATCAGTCAGTAGCGCGATGAGTGTATGTACAGCACATTTCGTGTTGCCGCACTGTGGTGTGGTTGATGACGAGGACGTTGCCGTTAAATACATGATACTATAGCAAGGTCCCACAAGGAATTTTTGTTCTATTGAGACGGTAACTTTTCAGCATTGCTCTAGGATGATTTTCCTTTACATATGAATTTTTTAGCATTTCGTACTCTATACTTGGCTAGCCGTAGCCAACCACATAGACCTATGTACGTAATATATTAGATCAGATGTTAATTACATAAAATGTAGGCCGACAGTCGTATTTAATGGGGGCGGACTGGATTTCTTTTTTCGCGATTTACTATGGGATGGCAACTGTCATCGTTATCTAGATTTGTAGACGCCGTTGTCCATATGGTAATGATGAAGATCGTTATTGACTGATGAGGCATGATTAAAAGTGCCTTTCATTTTCAATGGATTACATTCCATTCCAACGATATAATAAAATTAAATTATTAAAACATTGCCTATAATATAATCTAGTAATGTACTAGTATATTATTTAATCTAGTAATGTATAT